CACAATCTCCTCACAGTTCATGTAACAGGGTGTCATCTGCCAACCCCGCTGGGACACTTGGGGCTGTCCTCAGCCCCGGCCAGCAGGAGCCCCGTGCTTCCCGGGCAGCGACAAGCCCCCAGGAAGCCCACCAACATTGCGGCTTCTTAGAAAAACAACACGTCACGATTCCCAGAGATAACACTAACATCTAAGTTATTTACCCTGAGTGTTGCCCGCCAGCTCCCACACGTCTGCATTTCCTGAGACTAGAATTTTCTATTTCTAATTTGGTGAGTATTAAAGAAGCCAATGATATCTATTTCCTATCTTTCCTCTTCTAAAAGATGTCTTTTTTTTTCTTTTGGGCAGAAAAAAATCAAAGAAATTTGTTCACAGTCAGAAAATGTCATTTTCTCAAAGTAGCTGTGAACCAGCAAAATGCAGGTGGAGCCGTGTGGAGTGCTGCGGGAAGGGCTGGGGACAGGGCTGTGGCTGCATCCGAGCGCCAGAGCCTGCACCACAGGCTGACGGAAGCCTGCTCCCTCCTGTCACTCAACGGCTGATCGGCATGATAGGCGTTCATTTTTAACGTATTTCAGTTCACTGACGCATTGCACTCCAGTGCATTCACTGCTATGTAATTAAATAAAACACACAGATGTAAAACTTGTCACTGCTGTCCTCTTGTTATTGTACACACACGGGAGCCCCTCACCCCCACCGAAAGGAAAGACACAAACCAGGAAGGGCACCCCCTCCCTGGCTGTTATGCACACGGGTTTGGTCACTGTCATTTCAGGGAGACGGTCAGACTCTGCTGGGCAGTCAGGCCGACTCTGCCCAGAGGGTACATGGGGGCATCGCACCTGGGCTGGGGGAGGAAGACCGTGGGATGGGGCGCCTGCCAGGTGCCCGCTGGGCCCTGCAGGGCCAGGGGTTGGTCCTCCTCCGTGAACTGTGCCCCCTCAGCTTCCCAACTGTTTCTGGAAATTTCTAAACCCACTCACCTGAGCACAGAGCAAAGGAGAGTGAAGGCCTAGGCTGGGTGGGGTCTTTGCGTTATTCTGAGCCCACAGTAAGGAATACATTTTACGTGGTAATCCAGCACACACCAAGCTACGGCCGTGGTGTGCGAAATGCTGCCCTTTTCTGTTCTCTATCTCACTGCAGAGAGCCACGCACAGCCCGCCTTCCCAGTGAGGAGGCTCCCCCAGACCCACCAACCCACTAGGACCTGGCTAGCGCCCTGCCATCGGGAGCCCCAGTCAGCCCCGGGCACTGACTTCAGGTGCAGAGGGGCCCGGGGACACCCAGCTGGAGGCAGGCCCGGCGCCTGCCCACACCCGCCCCGAGGCCAGTAAGGGCGGGTCAGGGACCTAAGGCCACACAGCCTTTGCACCAGCCCGAATCCTTCAGGGAAGTAAATGTGTCTCTGTAAGCCAGAGCTCAGTAAAAACGTCCGCAATGTCTCCATTAGCCTGGGGTTTGAGGCTCTGCTGGGCCCTCAGTTCCAGGCTTTGGTTGTCAAGAGCCCAACAGCACCCGAGGCTACTCTAGGATTTAAACCCACCGTTTAAATATCTGAGGAGGTTAAAAATACTACGGAAGGCCAGTAATTCTGGGAACCGCCACCTGGCTCAGGCCACACCGGCTCTCGTCTGCCTTCCTCACCTAGCTGGCTTGTCCTGGGACAGCACCGGTGTGGCCTGGAGGGTGCGGCAGCGAGGCAAGGGGACGGATCCCCTAATCAAGAGATGCCCGATTTCCAGCCACCCTGTGGGGCCTGGGAGGTGGAGGACAAAGCACAGGAGACCCCGGGGGCAGCTGGGCGGAGGGGCTGCGGCCGCAGCTTTGCTCTGTGAATTGTCAGAGGGTCTTAGCTTCACTGATTTAATAAAGCAACAGTAAAGGTTCTGTAGCATTTATACATTACATTTCAATTAGTCTTTTTCTAAACACAATCAAATTCAAATACTGGGTGTTTTCATTTAGACTGACTGTAATCCTGACCTCCTGTTTTGACATGTCTTTCCTCTGAAAGTCAGAGGAATAGGACGTCGGTCCGTCCTGCCTTCTCGTCAGACATAGGATAGGATAGGAAGATGGGAGTTAATGGGGTTTGCTCGTCTCACAGCCGTCGGGGCACCTGCCCTTACCCACTGGCTCTGCGGGCGTGTGAACAGCGGAGCTCCAGTAAGCAGTTTGTACACTGCTGGTCAGTCTGACGTCACCTGTCACATGGAGAGGCTGAGCTTTGCCGTGGCTCTGAGTGGACCCTTGCAGAGATCTGTTTCGACTGGACATTTGGTTCGGTTGCTTCCCAAAGTTTTCTTACAAGCAGACCAGCTGGGAAAGCGGAGCCCAGGGATGGGTTCAGGCCCACAGGTGAGGGCAGCACGTCAGCACCAAAGGGCCGCCCCATCCTCCGCTTCAGCTGGCCTGGAAAGGGCGGGGCGGCACCACAGACGCGCCCGTGCCTCCTCGACGCCCGTGTGGCCGAGTCCCCCTCAGACTGTGCCATGCAGGTCAGTTCCTTGTTCAAGGGCAGGTTCCATTCCAGCAGCGGTGGGGCCGAGGGCCACGTCCCTGACAAGCTCTGCAAGCTGCCCCTTGGTGTGTGGGCTGGCAGTCAGCTGGCTCCCCACACTACGCGGCGGCCCCCCTGAGCCCAGGTCCCTCGGCTTCCTGATGACACCTCTCTTCAGTCAGACAGTGAGTGGCCTCACAGACAGTGGGGGGCTCCATGACTTCAGCCCTAAATTGTCCCTTTTCCTCATGAAACTGCCCATCAGTACTCAGTACTCAGGCGCCCAGAGTCAGACACACATGCCACCCTCCTTAGACACCCTGCCTTCCCCCCATCTCACAGGTCCCCGGGCGCCCCCTCCTGGCTCATCCGACCCCCAGCACCCACACATCCTGGCTGCCCCATCTGCTCCCCTTCACTCCCACCCCCACATATCCGCACACTACCGAAGCAGAACGCGCTCCCACTCCAAACACCCCTCAGCCGGCCCTGCCCTCCCGGTGCCTGAGTAAGAGGCGCCTCCCGGGAAGAGCAGCCGAACCGTGGGCCAGGAGGAGGGCGGGGGCCGGCTGCCAGCCCCCGGAGATGCCTGAACCCCCCGCCTTCGCCAGGGCAAACCCAGCCTTTTGTCATTCCCTGCCACCCTATGTTTCTGCCCAACCTGTTAGTTACGGCACACACACCTGTAATGACGATAACACAGTTGCAGCCGGACGCTGGGTAGCAAACTCTTCATTATAACTCAATTAGCCCAGCAGCACATATTTTCGGAGCATCTGGCAGTGCAGGCACTGAGAAGAAAAACTGCACAGCCTTCCGCTCTGCAACAACGAAGAAGTCGCTTCCCTCCTTTTTTTCCCATGCCGACAAAAACACCCAAGTTTTTTTCTTAAATTATGGAAATCTCAAGGTATAAAAAAACCCGCTGCACAGTGAAATATATAAATCGAAGAGGAAAGAGATCAGAACACTATTTGGCACTGGCCTCAGAAAGAATCTGAAAGTTGTTCTCTTAACGTGTCCCCAGTTGAGGTACAGATATAATTAATAGTCTTGGCAACGCTGTATAATCCTCAGTGTGTGTGTGGCTGGTCTGCACCCCGGACCCACAGTCAAGCAGAATGCACCCCCAAATGTGGCACAGTGCCCCCAAATTCACCGTCTGAGGGAAGTCAGAGCAGCCCCATCCCACCAAGTGGGAAGCAGGAACGAAGTGAACACTTGGCAGCCAGCGGTCCGTCTGTGCGGCCTGGAGGGGGGCACGCTTTCTTCTGCGTGAACCTGTCTGGGGTCTGTAGAACCCGGGCTGCACTTCTCAGCACACGGAACCCTCTCCCGACTTGCTGCGCTGTGCCTCCACAGCCTGGCAGACAGGATGGCCTTGGGGAGCTCACCCACCTCACCCCCCTTTCAGCAGCTGGTCTGAGCAGGGCCAAGAAGTGAGCCAGCCAGGGCACTTGGGGCTCCTGAGAGACCGCTTCCCAGCGAGTCACCTCCATGCACCAACAGAGCCAAAACCCATCTTACAACACCTGCTTCAACCCCCCACCTGTGACACACTCCAGGGACCAGGGGAGGGAGATGGACTTCCGGGAACTGTGAAGGCCGAGTCAAATCCATCCAGCCCAAGCCGAGCTCTGGGCTGGTTTTGGAAGAGGTGACGACGAGGTGACAAAGGGAGTCACAGCCCACGACCGACCAACCGCAGCCCTGCTCCAAGAGCCAAAACCAGAAACCGAATCCGACACGGAGGGGGCTCCGCCGTCACTCCGACACCGCTGGAGCGCAAACACGTGCGGTCAAACAGACGCCGCGGGGTCGCCGGGTCCAGGGGACTCGCGGGCTTGGGGGAGTTTCAGGGGCGCAGAGAGAAGCCAGCTCGCCCTGCCCGACACCCCCGCCATCCGCACGCGGATGCCCAGGGCCTCCTCGGCGCTCACCCTCCTGGCCTCCAGTGCCACTGTCCGGACCCCGGTCTGCTCGCCGCGCCCCCAGCGCTGCACCGGGCTTGGCGGGCCAGCGCGGCGGGTGGGGAGGCCCTCTGCCCGGGTCCGGCAGGTCGGGCTCCGAGTTTGCAGAATTCGCGGCTGCGGGAGCAGGGCCCCCTCTCCCCACTCAGGTCCTCGCCCGGCTTGGCGCCCAGGCCGGAGAAAGCAGGCCGGGTGCGCGCGCGCGTGGGCGCGCGTGGGAGTGTGCGCGTGGGAGTGTGCTTGTGCACGGTGTGTGCGCGCGAGTGTGTGTCCGTGTCCGTGTGTGCGCGTGTATATCCGAGCGGGCGGCGGCCGCCTCGCCACCCAGGGGCAGCAGGACGGGGCGAGGAAAGGGACCGGGGCGCCGAGAACTCGCCCACGTCCCGCCCCCTCCGCGCGCGAGCCGGGAGCGCACACCGACCCAGCCAGGGCGTGCGCCCGGGGAGCCCTGTGCCCACTCGGGCGCCCCCGCCCCCGCCCCGGGAGCGGACGCCGCTCGGCCCCCGCGTCCCTGCTCGCACCTGGGCTCCGGCGGCTCCGACGAGGACAGACGGGGCGGCGCAGGAACCGGGCTCCCGCCGCGGCCGCCGGGACTTCGGCGAAGGCGCACGGAGCG